GGATCTAGCTGGTGGCACTGTGGGTTGGGCAAGAGCTCAAACCAGCCAGCTATTCATAGGGAAAGAGACGAGGCTGTCTGCTCCCACAAAGATAGAGAGTCTGAGAAACCCTAAGAAGCAGTCCTACTCTGTTCTACAGGGTCACCGTGAGTAAGAACTGACCCGAAGGCAGTGGATTGGGTTTTAGGGTTCATAACTGTGTCCACTATCCAGAACGTCTCCAGTCTGTGAGGTCTTTAGAAGGGCCTTCAGGAGACTAGGGAGTCTGGGGGGGTGGTGACCTTCAGAGCCTGCTGCTTCTGGCACCTTCTCTCAGAGTCTTCTTTCTGCTCAGTGCCTCATAAAACCGTGGTGGGCCCACTGCATGCTGACCACTGCACTATCCTAATATGGCCCTGTCCACCCTGATATAGTTTTGACCCTCACCTGGTGACCCCATCGCCACAGGATTGGATCATTGTGATCTGCTGGCTGATTTTCAGAAGTAGATTGTTAGGCCTCTCTTCCTGGTCCACCTCAGTCTGGAAGCTATGCTGAAACCAGCTGAGCATCTCAGCAACACACAAGCCTCCTGTACCACCCACACCCCCCACCCCCCCACCCCCCGTGATCAGCTGTGGGGTGGGCTATTGAGATCCACAGGGTTCTCACTGGCTGGTTTTCAGAAGATTGACAGACCTCTCTTCCTGGTCCACCTCAGTCTGCAAACTGCAGAGCAGCATGCCAGCCTCCACCCACTGGCAGATGATGGTGCACTGGCTGGGAGAATCGAATCTGAGTGTGAGTCGGAATCGGAGTCTTCCATGTGAGAGGTGAGCACTGGACCACAAAACCACCATACCTCCCATCCCACCACAACCAGCCCAAAACAGGCTCCACAGTCAAGTGACCCAAAGTGTTTGCAACAGTGTGAGCTGCAGACCAAATGCAGGGTCTCCTGGGTCAGGATCTCTGGCCTGGGGTCCTGATTATTTGTACTGTGTGTCTGGGGTATTCCCACACACATTGAAAGCTGGAGAAACCCTGCAAGCCATAGACTTGCTTATTTTTACTTGAGTTCTGATACATAAACACCGTGTGCCGTATCTATAATATTTATCCATTACATATACAGAAACAGCTAACATAACCACCTCGCCTGTAAGTAACACTTCAGGCTTGCCAGTGTGGCAGAGGGCTGGCGAATGTGGCCTGATGTGCCCAGAAGCTGAGATTCTTCCACACAGACCTCTGGGATGGACCCAGGAGGATGGTGTTCGGTACTCCTTCCAGCCGTCTTTGATTGCAAAAGTGGGACAGCGTTGTGAGAGGAACCTTTGAGGTATAACAGTCAGTACTTGCTTTTCATTGCCAAGGTTCGCTAAGGTGGGGTCCCTGGCTTCAATTCAATCCTAGACTTTTCCCTTGACTTGAGAAACGCCCAGCATGCGGTTGCTTGCTTCTGCATCTCTGCATTTCCATCTATGTGAGGGACATGAAGACCTCTCTTCTTTCATAGGGGTCTTTCAAACATTAGTGAGCCAATATTTGTCTTTGGCGTTCTCTGTTACATAGAAAGAAAATGGCAGGAAATGAATTATTTGCTCTCTGGATATACTTCTTTGTGCTAATATTTTTGTATCTTTTTTTTTTTTAGTACATGTTTTAAACATTCTCATAATTATTGAAGCATAAATCTGTGTTGGAAGAAATACAGCCAGAATGTTCTTTAGAAGCCAGGAGGGGGAGACTTTGTCTTTCATACTTCAGATATATTATCAGGAGGGACCAGTCCCTGGAGAAGAACATTCATCCTTGGTAAAGTGGGGGGCGGTCAGCGAAAAAGAGAATGACCCCCAACGAGATGGACTGGCACAGTGGTAGCAGTAACAGGTTCAAGCGTCACAATGATCGTGAGGAAGACGCAGGACCGGGTAGTGTTTCGTTCTGTTGCGCATAAGGTCACTATACGTTGGTACAGCCAACAAAACAAAATATGGTTGTAGGTAAATCTCTCAGGCTCCAGTGTTGATTTCAGTTACTGCGTTGCTTTCATCGATAATATGGCTTCCAGTATATTTCTTTCATTCTTTCCTGTAGACTTGCCCAATATGGTAGTCACTAGCTACATTTAGCTAACAAAACTTAAAATTATTTAAAATGAAATAAAACTAAAAATTGAAATTCTCCGTAGCAGCAGTCCTGTTTCAAGTACTCGCTAGTCACCTGTGGCTGCTACTGCTGTATGTCAGCGAATTCATTCTGAATCGTGTTGTTGGTGGTTGTTAAGTACTGGGGAGTCGGTTTCGACTCATAGCAACCCTGTATAAGGTTTCCGAGGAGCAGCTGGTGAGTCTGAACTGCAGACCTTGTGGTTTGCGGTCCAGTGCACCCCTGTATAAGGTTTCCTAGGTTGTAAATCTTTACAGGAGCAGAAAACTCATCTTTCCCCTGCAGAGTGACCGGTGAATCTGAACTGCTGACCCTGCAGTTAGCAACCCAACACTACCAGGGCCCCCAAGTCTGGCTAGTAGTTACCAAAGTGGACAGTGAAGAGTGCAGATACACGACATTTCCACCCTCTCAGGATGTTCCAGACAGTACTGTTATCCCCTCAGGTTTCTGAAAGGGCCTTGTTGTTGTTGTAGTTGTTAAGTGCCGTCGAGTTAATTCTGACTCACAGCAACCCTGTATAGGGTTTCTGGTGGTAAACGCTGAGTTAGTAAATCACTGCAGAAAGAATGATAAAATCATTAGTTCTAATTTGTCTTAATATGTCTTAAAAATGGTCCCTCAAAACAAAAGGACCTCTTTTGTTTTGACACAAGTGGATCCACTGGGATTATTCTTCGCTTCTGCCTACTCCTGGCTGTGTTTTTAAGGAACACTTCCCAAATTTTGGATCATACATCCTCACCATGTTTATCCAATGAGTTACATTCTGGTCCAATCCGACACGTTTGCTTCTCCAAATATAGCAGTCTTTGACCCAACCAAACCAGGTGCCAACAGTTGGATAAATGATGTCTGCATTAAACCTTCCAGGAAATTAATTTTATCAATGTGTTAGTATCAAATTCTAGACAAATTTGTTTCTTAGGGGAAGAAATAATTTACTTTTTCAAAGTTTACTTAGGAAAAGAAGTCAAATATCCCAGGATAACATCTATCACAAAGCAGAAACAATTTTTTCAGGGCAAAAATCTCACTCCCAATACAAATTCTGCAAGAAAATGTGAGTTGAAACGGATCTAGCCATTTGTATACTAAATACACCTTTGCTATTAAAGCCTCATAATTTACTGCCTAGCCCCACATGAAGCAAATACACAAAAAAGAGCTGGACAGGGCCCCCCTTTACAGGTCCGCACCACCTGTTTTATCCTAACACTGCTGCTGCCCCTCCCAAGAAAGCAATCATCCCCTGCCCCAAGCAAGTTTTCTTCTTTCGTTTTTTGCAAACAGTATCTGAGTTCTTTCAATGATGTCCAGTGGCCGTAGCATACAGAATCAAGGAAACTGGATTACTCCATAAATTAAAAGTTGGATTGCTAGAGTTTATTATTTTTCTGTTAGTCTTTCCATTTAAAGAAAAAGAACCACTATGTTTTCTCCCACCGAATCCTTTGCAAATGTGGTTTTAATGATCCAAATTGCATTTAGACAGTGTCCAGAAACAAGAAACGGCTTCTTGATTTGCTCAACAGACTTCTTTGCCACTGCATTCTAAGTAGAAACAAAAAGCCAGAAAATGAATTTTCATTAAATTGTACTGATGTGAATAAAATTACTCACTGCTTCATAGACTTTACAGGGCAGGGCGGTACTGCCCCTTGTAAGGTTTCCGAGGTTGTAAATCGTTTAAGCAAGCAGATTGCCACATTCCTACCGCACAACGGCAAGTGGGTTCCAACACCTGACCTTTCGATTATTTGCAGAGCGCTTAATCACTGCGACACCAGCGATCCTTGCTAATTAAAATTAAGGCTGATGTAAATCTTTTATAGCCAAGTTTGATTTTCTCCAACTCAAATCCGAGTAATTTAACAGCAAGAAGAAAGCAGAGGCTGCAAATCCCACTTTTGCCGCGCGTTGGGGATCTTTTTTGTGGTGTGCAATTGATCCCAGAGGACGACCAAACCCCAGGGTACACGAATCACTTGGTCTTGGGTTAAGAACAGATTTCCAAGTTTATTCGTCGCCCCCCATAACATTCATCAATATCATGAAACAAATTAAGAAAAGGTGCAATTGCTTGTCTTCCTACGTGCGCCCCCAAACGTAGAGGCTGGGCTTCCACTTTTCTGCTGTTTGGTTAAGAACTCGAAACAGTTGGAATAGCTTCTTCAGGGCGGCTAGCATTTTCAGTAAATGCATTTTCCTCTTTCGCCTTTGAGAAATTAAAAAAAAATGGGCTGATCCGTACTAGTGGCTCTCCTTGCTCCCCAATATTTTCCCTCCCACTTCTTCCCGGCCGTTTTTGCTCCCCAACAAAACAAAATCGGGCGAATGGCCCCAAACCGGAGTGAACTCGGGTCTGGACGGGGGGA